AACGGTACCGGTACCGGTACGTACGTNCTACNCTACACTANGTACGTGTATACGTATATATATATATATATATATATATACTATATATATATATATATATATATACTATATATATATATATATATATATATATATATATATATATATATATATATATATACGCATCGATATATATATATATATATATATATTAATATATATATATATATACGCATCGATATGTATAGTGCACATAAATACCGAAGCACACATACTAGTGGATCGCATGCTTATCGACGTAACATCCGCACACACGTACACAATTGCTGTACACACTTCTGCATCGCTTCCCGCATCGGCACAAGGTATAGTTACTAAGCCACATTGTACTTACTTGTGCATAGGCATGTTCCCCGGCGTCTTGGCGGCCACTATATACTGATTGCACGGGCTTAAGATAGCACAGTGCCATATTTGCGCATCGATGGCTTCCTTGAGCTCATCGATGACAGTCATTGTGGAGGTGTTGAGTAGGAAGAGGCTGCGTAAACTACAGGTCACCAGTAGCAAGGTGCTGCATGAGAGATTGAGAAGTGAAAAAAATTGGTTTGGGATACGGCTTGTGTTTATGTACGTGTAAATAAACAAGATGATATGAATGAGAGTCGCCGGATGGCCAAGTGTTTATCCGAAGTGCTATGAGCAAAGAGGTCAACAATCACCCTGTATGTTTGTGACAGTGCTAGAACAGTAAGCAGAAGACGCACCTTATGCTAGCGTAACTAGTGTTAATTCACATCGGTGTGTGAACTTGTGCTAGGTTATAACCGCATGAATCATGGCCATTTTCGTTCATAAGCATGTGCAACTAATCTGAGAGAGCGCAACCTACCCGTCTTTGCTACACTGAATCGTCCTGATAGCCACAGCCGCCTTGTTCAAGCTCACGGAAAGCATCACACGCTCTGTACGCAGATTCACCTGCATAATCCTTCCCTCAAATGTCGCTACATATACCACATGGCCAGAGGCTGTGCTGTATATGGCTGTATTGTTGTACGTCTGTGTGTCTTCTGTTGTGGGTGTCAGTGTGCGTGTGTGCACACAAGTGCTTTTACACGCAGCCCCGTGGCCGTGTCTGGCATTTTTCGTTTGTGGTTGTTCATGCACAGTCATATACTGCTCCAAGTTAATATGGCGCCGCTGATACATTTCCTGGGATAGAAACCCGCCAGAACTATCCGGCACCCTACCACGCATTCCCACAGATGCGGCCCCAAATGGATGTGTGTTGTTTGTGTTCAAGTTTGCACTTGTCTGTGTGCCTGGATTTGTGCTGCTCCCCGTACGAGCGTTTCTATTTGTGTCTGTGGTGGTGTATGTGCCTGTATTCGCAGTGTTGTCTGTGTCTGTGGACGTAGCTGCACTCGTGTGCATGCCTGTACATGTCCTTTTCTCTCCGTCTGCATGCGTGGTTGTATTTGCAATCACGTCTGTGTTTATGGCAGCCTCTATATGAGTGGGCATCTCTGTGCGTGTGCTTCTTCCCATGTCTGCCTCCGCCTGTGTGTCTGTCTTTGTGCCTGTTTTCCCTGTTGTCTCCGTACTAGCGATATGATCTGTCGCTAGAACGGTACCTACAGCTTCACAATACATTTTTCCCGTGTTGCCAGTGGTTGTGCGAGCATCTGTATCTGTATCTGTGCAGGTAGGGCTCACAAATGCTTCTACAACCCGGTCAGTGGGTGTGATGGGCAATTGCCAAACGCGCGGGCTCGCAGTACCAATTTCGTTGATTATCGGCATCATACCGAGGCAGTTAACTATTATTTGTAAGCTGTGTAGGTAGAGGAGAGAAAAATGAGTCATCGATGAGCCGAGATACTGATGAGCGTACAATCAGGTATTCGGTATCCACGGCCAATTGATGATGCCAGAGGGCTCTAGTGGTGAAGGCAAAAGAAAAATGACTCACGGCTGAGTCACACTACCGGTTAGTTCGCAGCCGAACTGACTATGTGTACATAAGGTGCCAGGGTATTCAAATATACCTACAGGTGCCAATGTACTTTGAATACCTTGGACACCATGGCTTAAGGAATGAATCATGGATAAGTCTGGGGACGGATGGCGTGCGCAGGTGATGTATTCGCTATTTACCTACGGGTGATGTGAATTCGTAGGGTTGCATGGGTAGAGAGTAAAGAATGAGTATGGATAAGCCATGTATATGCTATTGACAAGTGTGAGATGTCACGTTCGTGCAAGACGAGCACCTTGTGAATGATACAGACCATACATGTGTCGTCAATGAGTGATTAATGAGTTTTGGATAGGTATGTGACTAGTCCATATACTGTGATTGGTACGGGAACGTATGGCAAGGACTGTTGTAGATAAGAAGGCACGGAGAGGGATAACGCTCCTGTGTATGAAATGTATGAAATTGACTTGTAAGTTTGAAGGGTATGATACATGTAGGTACCAAAACGACGATTACGATGCCAAGGGTGTCCAAACGTATAGTTGCCACTACAAAGACAGCCCACTTGAAGGTCTGTACACTAATCCTCGCTGCCTTCGCTCTCCCACACGAACAAAACGTCACACTTGGACCGTACATGTTCTTGTACGTAGGGGACTGCCGCGTATATACTTTATTATGCGAAAGCACAATTCGCAATCCACATGACGTTAAAGTTCTGATATCAAGCTTGTCTGAGATTCGGCCATGAGACCTGCCGCAAGCACTTGATGGATTATCCCCAGACGAACCGCATATGATAACTGGTATCATCCAGTGAGAAAGAGTTAACGCTGTGCGTACTATTGCTACTAAGAAATCTGTATATCAAAAGCCTGTTCCATATTATATGTTAGGTGAATCATCGATTTATAAAGGAGAAGGCTGTTATTCGGGTCACTTTTAAGTCCAGGTCGAAAACACTATTCTACACGACCACCAGAGAGCTGGTGTTTTCAAGTCACACTATAAAGATCATACTACATTGTGCACGAGACACACTCTCAAATACTATTCAATACAACAACCAGACAGCTGGTGCTTTCAAGTCACACTACACAGATCATACTACATTGTGCATGAGACACACTCTCTTATCTAAATAGATCCGCAGAGGTCCAGCTGTTCTTTACAGCTGAAGATGGTCATCTAAAACTCACTATACAGAATCCACTGGAAAAACTTGATACACACTCTCTGGTCGCAGTGGGAACGGATGAATGGGCTATTCTATACAAATACATATGGTGAAACCAAGCCACACCTCACACACCATACTAGACTCCCCATGTTACCCACCCTGTGGTCGCAGCAGATATAGACAGCACAGGTGCGCCATAGCATAGTCGGATGGTTGGCTGCCGTCTCGTCTCCTCCGACTCTCCGTCGTTCTGCCACACACACACGGTGCCATCAGCGCCCCCACTCACTAGGCACAGATCCGACAGCTGTACATGCATACAGTGCACAAGTGGTTGTGTGAGGGGCGGTGGTCAGCTGTGCATGCATACAGTGTACAAGTGGTAGTATACGGGATAGTGTGCTCATCTGTACATGCATACAGTGCACAAGTGGTCGTGTGAGGGATGGTGTGTTCATATATGCATAGATATAGTGTACAAGTGGTTTATGAGGGATGGTGTGTTCATCTGTACATGCATACAGTGTACAAGTGGTCGTGTGGGGGATAGTGTGTTCATCTGTGCATAGATACAGTGCACAAGTGGTTGTGTGAGGGATGGCGTGGTCAGCTGTGCATGCATACAGTGTACAAGCGGTCGTGTGAGGGATGGTGTGTTCATCGGTGCATAGATACAGTGCACGAGTGGTTGTGTGAGGGATGGTGTGTTCATCTGTGCATAGATACAGTGCACAAGTGGTTGTGTGAGGGATGGTGTGTTCATCTGTGCATAGATACAGTGTAAAAGTGGTCGTGTGAGGGATGGTGTGTTGACGTATCAGCGGCAGCTACGAAACAGCCGGTCTTCTCACAGTGAGAGAACAGTGTACGTGGCCTAGCTTTGAAGGTGTGTAGTAGGTACTATAATGAGAGGTATGTTTGTCTCTCTCTAGACATACGATAATAATGGATGTGTATACTTATTGCAATGCACTTGCATGACCTTGCCAACAGTTACCTGCCCACCTGACGTACATAGCCACAACAATACGGCACATCTACACGTGTGCCTACAGTTGCAAACGCGCAGGTGTGGGATACTGTACACAGGAAGTACTCGCCTCACAAAGGAACACTCTCTCGGCACACTAAAGGAAGTGGTACTGAATACTGACAATTCGATATCGTTGTTGAGGTGTATGATAGTACACCCGTACATCGATAAAGTATAAACACAAAAGCGTACTTCTTGATTGGTACTCACTCAGAACTAAATACTAAAGAAGAATCACCCAGCAGACACAGGTGGACGGGTTTACAAGGTCTGTCACAGCCTTTCCGATTGACTGAGATAGGCCGTTGTACACAACTATTCGCAAAAGCTACGGAATATAACAGATACAATAAGGTTTATATCACTCACACAGTCGACACACGCAACTGGATAATAAGCAATACCCATACAGTAGACACATGTTTATGGTCCTGCTTGATCATCAACGTACTTGCAAGGTGAAATGTGCGAAAGGATGTGACTAACAACCCGCACCAGCAGCTGACACAGGTAACTGGATACTAAGACAACTTGGTCAGGACACACACACACACACGTGATTAACCTACATATGACAATGTGAACACTACCAAGGCAATTGGCTATGCAGTTGTGCGCAATTACCAGCAAATGCTAACGAATACAATAGACACAACCAACGGTAATGAAACACCACCCTGCTGACACTCGTCACCTCACTAAGCCTAACTTTCAGCCTACAACGTACACAATTAACCAAACTTAGTTAGTCCAGCATTTCGTCCAGAACGTCGAGTGGGAGATCAGACGCAAATACGAGCAGAAGCTATAATAGATATTACAAAAACCTGCTGACACAACGCACCAGATACTAATAGATACTTACCCAGAATACACAAGTAACTAGCTATGCAAAGGAACACATACCCAGAATACACTCGTAAATAGCTATGCAAAGGAACACGTACCCAGGATACACAAGTAACTAGCTATGCAAAGGAACACATACCTAGCTGACACACGTAACTAGCTATGCAAAGGAACACATACCCAGGATACACACATAACCGGTCCCGAATGGCCCATAAGTGCCCGCCCATACAATCTAGAAGTCCGATCATACACAAGTATCTTGCCATCATTGCAACCTGTAGCTATGAGTACGCCCGAGGGACTAAACTGCACAGTCAATGAGAAGGCATCGTCCAGGGTGTCCTCTATGACCTCAGGAATGACCGACTCTCCGTCAATGGAATTCTCTTTAATTGCTCTGTTCATACTGGCTTTGACAAGGGTAGTGCGTAATGCTGTATCATATGAGCTACTGAATGATACTCGTACAAGACATATTCTTTCCTGATGAACTACTGATATACATAGGAAGGAGTGATTGAAGTACTGTCGTTTGTTGTGCACTCTAATACACTACGACGTCTTGTCGCATTTGTGCTGCCTTAATCCTCGTGGTGAGCATTCAGAACCTCACTGATGAGAGTATCCAAGAGCATGCATATATGTGATGTTACATATCCTTCTGAACTATACACAAGAAGAAGTGTTTCATGTAGAAGGCTTTGAGAGAAGGCTGAGGATATGTCACCAGGAAGTGGGAACTTTGGAGCTAGGAAGTTGAAAGGGATCATAGCCTCTTCTAAAAAAAATAGACGAGAGAAAGTTGATTTCCCGCCAAAAAAGATGCAATATACATAAATTGGTTTATTGTATTGTTCCATGTTCTCTTCCATATAGATAGCCTTCTAAATTATTGATATTTATACAAGAAGGCTATGTCTCTTCCTTCTGGTGGTGGTGTCTAAAGGTGAACTGCACATATTGTACATAATGTTATACTACCATAATATTACTATTTATTGCAAATCTATTTTACAAAGTACAAGCAGTGCTATAGTCCGCTTCTGAGCTGGGAGATGTTTTCTTCAAGAAACAGTCCAAGACGTCTGCTAGCCTGGCTACCTGTTCTGGTTCGCTCGTCGATAAATCAGTGCCCTCTGGGTTGGCTCCTGTAACACTATCGCATAGGTTATAGTAAGTATCGTCAGCAACTGGATACCCCAAGCGATTGCCCGTTCTTCGTGTGGTACTGCCCGCCCCATCCATGGTTGTCAATTTCTCGCAACCACATCGCACACTACGATCGTACTGAAATTCGAATAGAAGGCATCTCTCGTCTCTCCATGTGGACTCTGCAGTTTCATCTAACACTGCGTCTATCCACGATTCACCGTCGGTCTCGTACTCAGCAGCAATTCCAGCGTAGTCCAGAAGTGTTGGGGCCAGGTCGATTGTTTGCACTAACCCTTCAAATGTTTTTCCCTCGGTTCCAAACGCATCTGGATAATGGACAAACTGTGCGATGCGGTTTCCGTTTTCAAACAGCGCCATCTTTGTCTCTATGCCGTGATCCATTTGGAACACGAATATCGTATTATTCAGCTCATCATAATCTTCTAGTGTCCTAATTAGTGCTCCAATACCGTCGTCCACCCATATGGCACCTAATTCGGCATTTGATTCCAGTTCTCCCGCACGGTCGAATATAGTCCGTCTATACGCCTCACAACTGCCATAAGCCGTTGTCATGCCAACGATGTCGGGCTCAGTATCGAGCTGACCATTTGCAGTATCCGTGCACTTGAAGTCTAAAAGTGCTTCTTTCACGTTGCCGCTGGAATGAGGTACCGTTGGATTGAAATACAGGAAGAACGGCTTTTCTTCTGCAATAGACTCTTCGATGAACTCGATACCCTTGTATGTAACCCACTCCATATTATGTGAGAAGGAGCCGTCGGAGTATGAGCCTAGATTCTCCATGTAGAGTGCATCTGCGAAATCAAACCCACACTCTCTCACGAGCGTTTGGAACTTCGGATACGAGTAGGCCTCGTTTCTAATGTTCGACAAATGCCATTTACCTACTACGCCAGTGCGATAGCCATTGGAGCGGAATTCCACAGCCATATTGTCCTTTGTGCAGTCTGAGTGCCCAACTACATCCTCCAGTTTAGTAGTCGGAATCGTAACTTTGGATATATCTAGGCCTGTGTTTATATCACGACTATATCCCGACCGGCTAGGGTATCTGCCTGTTATAGTAGAGAATCTTGATGTGCCACAAGCCGGGGACACCGTGTACGCCTGCTTCATCTCGAGTCCTTGCTTGCGGAGTCTCTCTATATTTTTTAATGCATACCCATTCGGGAATGAGTTCGTGGCATCGTCTACTGGATTATTGGGAGGTGGTGTCCAGGCATCGAAAAAGGGCAGGTCGTCTGGTTGTACAATTATAATGTTGGGCGACATTCCTTGCACGCCGGCAAAGGATACCAGGCCGAGGTACATCTCGAGGCATATATGTGCTATAGATTTCTTCATATTTCAGATCGCTTCTTTATTCAAATGGTCAAAGTGTCTATGCAGATTGTAGATGACTAGCAGTTAAGTATGAGCCATATAGTGTACTCACAGCGTGGGCGTGCATAAAATAATGCATTATGCCTTCTGTACTCATCACTCTACTCGCGTATTTATGCAATATAAATAAATGATCACTGATCAAAAACCATTTTTATTTTAATCTATGCCCATATTAATTGGTCTATGGGACTATGACTCATGATTCTAGGACTTTTTGACTACATATTTATATGCTGGCTTTGTGGGGAGTCCCCCTTGAAATCTCTTCATCAAAATCATGACCCCGCTGAAGAAAAAGACGATGAGAATGATACATGATGGTAAATAATATTTTTATGAAGTGTGTAGTTGTCTTGATGTGTTGTTTGCGTGAAGTGTGAAGTGTGAACCTCTCTCTACTTAACAGTAGAGTGAGTTTATGTGTTGCAAACAAATACATTTCTTTATCTGATTTTTATTCATTGTACATATAGAGAATATACAATGCGCGTAGCTACATATATATCATATATTATATCACTGGAAGTACAATAATGAAATTTGATCGATAGCACGTTCGACTATTCGAACAGGGTACTTAGACTATAACATCTACTCCCAACGCAAGCAGGCTTCAATAATGGATGACTTATTCTCGTCCGATTCTGACGAAGCATCATATGAAGACACAGGTTGGTAAACAAGCTATGTAGATTGTCGCATCTATTTGCAATTGTTCTGTGCATATAGACGTAAATTTTCAGTATCTCTGTCTTGACATAG